TATATACATATATATAATATATATGTATATACATATATATAATATATATGTATATACATATATACATATTATATAATATATATATGTACATAAGAAAGTTGAGATATTTAGGATAAAATCAGAGTTCAAGAGATGCAAAGTAAATTCAAAGTATAAAAGTAAATGTACTCTTTTAGATTTGTATGTGTTATAATGTTGGATTATTTTTATTGAAGCTAATTTTACTCAGTTTATTGTCTCACAATGTTGTTTTTTAAATCTGTAAAGTAACTCAAGCTGACAGATGTAGAAGTATAAAGTAAAGTACAATCACACTAGAATTGTACTTAAGTTCAGTACTTGATTAAATGTACTTCACGTCACTGAAATGTAAAACTTTATTTGTAATTTCTGCCTAAATTAAATACAAATACATGTAATATTCTCCATAATGGAACTTTACTTTATTTGGAATGTGTTATTTAAAGTAATCTTTTCTCCTGTCCACAGGTGTGTTGCAGTGTATTGTGGGTAGTCGCCTCCTCCTCCAGGGTTAAGACTCCTCCCTCTGCTCCTCCTCGCTGTGGCGCCACGTTGGCGTTCTCCTCCGAGGTCTCCTCCGAGGTCTCCTCCTCGTCTGAAGGAAACGGGAACGTCCACCTCCGCTCTCTGTCTCCGTGGAGCTGGAGGTCAGAGCCATAAATACATAAATGAATCTTTGATTGATCCTGAAGATGATTTTAAGCTGTGGAACACTAAATACATGTTTGTCCTTCGATGGACTCACTCTGCTCCAAATATCTGTGGATCTAAAACTTCATCCACACAGTTATGTTATCGAACTTTTAAAGGAACAGTGTGTGAGGTTTAGTGACATCTAGTGGTGAAGTTACAGACTGCAACCAACTTAATACCCTCAGCTCAAACTACGGTGGCCTGCAGGCAGAGAGAGATATCTTTAGGATGTTAGTACAACGATGAGATACTTTTATCTATACTTTGATTTTCTATATGACTAAATAATTACATATACAGAATAAATCCCTACGTAGATATATAAATGGTTTAATCCCCTAAATGTTACGCACTGTTCCTTTAAAAAATTAAAAAACAGACTGCGTGCTTAAAAAGTGTCAACAGATTATACACGTGACAGATAATAAACTTCCTTTCAGAATAAAGTTCACAATAAATATGTTTATGTTCAGTTTTCATATTCTCATAGGACATCAGAATCCAACAGTAAACATACAAATACTGAACAATATAGTGTTAAATATATCGTTATAATAATAATATTAATAGTGTTCATAATAATAATAACAGTAAGATTGATCTGATAGTTATTTGTTAGATTAATATGATTGACTTCATTAAATACTTCATCAGACACAAACATGTCTAATAAACAATATGTTTGTTCATTTATTTTATGGATATTTAATTCATTCCTCACAGAATGACGGTAAATGTATAAATATAAAAACCATGAACATCCTCAGTAGCCAATCAGATCCTCAGGCGTGATTTAAATGTTTGTTTGTTCAGGTCGTCCACGGTGCCGAACCGGATCCCCTCCGTCCTCTGGGAGGCCGAGTGCAGCAGCAGCCTCTGTTCTGGTCCCGACAGCAGACAAGACCTGAACTCGGTCCCCATCTACCAGAACGTCCTGGTCCTGAACCGGCAGGATCGAGGACGCTGCTTCGTCGCGTCGTACCGCTCTGTGGCCGTCGGCTGCACCTGCGTCTGGGCCAAGACCAGCAAGGACTGAACCCGAACCACCCACCTGGATCTCCACAAACCTGGATCTGAACCACCTGAATCAGAACCACCAAAACACAACCACCTGGATCAGGTGGTTCAGATCCATTATGTTTCCTGTTGTTGTCTATGATTGTTTCTCTTTACCAATAAAAAGATAGAAACAGAACTCGTGATGAATGACATCATTCTGACTTTTACTTGAATAACAACGAGAATCAGTGAAATAAATGTAACGGATCACTTCAGTGACCAGAGTGAGGTGTGTGTTAGTGTGTGTGTGTGTGTTAGTGTGTGTGTGTGTGGGTGTGTGCGTGTGTGCGTGTGTGTGTTAGTGTGTGTGTTAGTGTGTGTTAGTGTGTGTTAGTGTGTGTGTGTGTGTGTGTGTGTGTGTGTGTGTGTGTGTGTGTGTGTGTGTGTGTGTGTGTGTGTGTGTGTGTGTGTGTGTGTGTGTGTGTGTGTGTGTGTGTGTGTGTGTGTGTGTGTGTGTGTGTGTGTGTGTGTGTGTG